TTTCCCACGGTTAATTTTACATTTTGCAGCTGGATATGATTCAAGCCATTGTCCCACCTCCTTTGGTGTCAAGATACTTGGCTGAACTTGCTATTAGAGGGTCAGCCATTGTCCCACCGCCTTCAGTTAAATACTTATTTAAGTATATTAACAAGGGGTATGATAGAATTACTGATGCTGTTGTCCAAACTGACGGTGATGGATCTCCCTCGGTCAGAATGGTTGACGAAATCAAGCAATATCTTGATTGCAGATATATCTCACCAAGTGAAGCATGTTGGAGACTTTTTTCATTTCCTATTCATGGTAGATCACCCGCAGTTGAAAGGTTGTTCTTTCATCTTGAAGGAGACAACTCTATTTATTATACCGATTATGAATTGATAGATGAGGTGCTTGACAAACCAACTGTGAAAGAATCTATGTTTACGGCATGGATGGAAGAAAACAAAGCATACCCAGAGGCAAAGAATTTTACGTACTCACAATTTCTTTCCAAATTTGTTTATGATAAAAGATACCGTCGATGGAGACCGCGTAAAAGAGGAAATACAATTGACAGACTTATTTGGGTCCCTCCAAGTACGGGTGAGTTATATTTCTTGAGAATGATGCTAACAGTCGTCAAGGGTCCAACTTGCTATGAGGATATAAAATTTGTAGGTGGAAAAGTTCAGGATTCTTTTAGGGATGCATGCTTCGAAATGGGCTTTCTTAACGATGACAAGGAATATGTTGCAGCCATCGACGAAGCAAAGAACTGGGGTTCCGGGCATTTTTTACGAAAGTTATTTGTCACTATGTTACTATTCGGTACTGTCAATAGACCACAACATGTTTGGGAAAAAACTTGGAGGACGTTATCTGATGGTATCCTCTACCAACAAAGGCAAAAAACAAATAGAAGAGGTATGAACACTTTATTAAACTTTTTTAAGTCAACAAATATTATTTTCCGAATGCAAGCTGTATCTTTTTTTATTATAAAATATAATGATATGAACTTACTTTAAAATATAATTATTCTTCATCCATATGTCCCTTATTTAATATGTTTCATAAGGTATGTCCATTTACGTAAGAAACATTTTCATATTTGTCATTTGTCATGTATGTAAGTTATTTTCTTAACTTGCAGCTGCAACAGTGTCTTTGGTTCCATTTAATTTCACGCAGCCGCAACATCAACTGTTTGATTTATGTTCAATGTATTTCAACATCACGACAGCAGTTGCATCATACATATGTAATTATATAGAAAACTAATGAAATTTTTTTAACATAATTGCAGCTATCGGACAATGAGTTAAAGAATCTCACACTAATTGAGATTGAGAACATGATGCAATCGAATCGAAGAAGTTTGCATGAATTTAAATGTATGCCGTATCCAGATTCATACATCACAAAACATGTTGGCAATAGGCTTATTTATGACGAACTTAATTACGATGCCGATACCGAGAAACAGAAATTCCAAGAACTTTTTCATGCCATTACAGGTGATTTATTTTCTTTATACTATGAATTACAAAAATGTTTTTTATTGTCCTTGCACTTATAATTCTTGGTTTGTATTTTATAGATGAACAACGTTTGATATTTGAGAAAATCATAGATGTTGTTAACAAACAGAGTGGAGGGGTATTTTTCTTGCATGGTTACTGAGGGACTGGTAAAACTTTCATGTGGAGAACACTATCAAGTGCATTTCGTTCTCAAAAAAAAATTGTTCTTACTGTTGCTTCAAGTGGGATAGCTTCGTTATTATTGCCGGGTGGAAGAACAGCACACTCAAAGTTCAAAATACCTGTGCCAACGCTTGACAACTCAACTTGCAACATCGACAAAGACACCGAACATTCTCAATTATTTGAAGCAACGGATGTGATAATATGGGATGAGGCACCTATGTCTCACAAGAACTGCTTCGAAGCATTGGATAAAACCCTTAAAGATGTAATGAGCAAAAAGGGTGTTGAATTAGCTTTTGTCTTGGATGAAAGAAAGACGGGGAAGTTGTGATTCCCACAGACGGCGCCACTGATCGTACCTGACCAGAATGGACCGTCACAGTTTACATCGAGCAGAACTTGAGAGTGATGTTGGGGGTACCTGCAAGACACTTCGATGCCAATGTGAGATTCGGAATGAGCAAGCAAGTAAGAGAATGAGAAATGTTCAATACCTGACCCTCGTAGGGTATTTATAGTCCCCAGCGCTGGACCAAGGTCTCCTCATTGGGCTGGTCAAGCAGGCCCAAAATGGAGACTGCCAGGTCCTACGTGAGTAGGGGACCCGCACGTGGTCCCCCACCTAAATGACTTCCTCTGTAAGATCAGGAGGATATGAATGTGGTCTTTCCGAGGCCACGAAGACTCTGCGATATTCGAAGACGTTGATAGTCAGCCCTACGAGGAGGATGCTCGTGAGGTGCTTCTGCTCATCGTGGATGTTCCCCACCAGATGCGAGATCATCTGAGGGGATCAGTCCTGATCGGGGAGAGGATCAAAGGGGTGACCTCGAGGTCCTCCTGACCGGCGATGATCTTCCTAGGACTGACTGAGTTTGTCCCCGTGCGATAAGGTTGCCTCCTTGCGGAGAGTGGGAGTTGCTGTCCGACGTCGTCGAGAACGAAACTGACTAGTATGCCTTGACCAACATAATTGAATTGGCCTCACATCGAGTTGAATCAAGGACAGACCTAATACAAAGCAGCTTGCTTACGATACAATTACATATAGACATATCATTTTTTTTTACTAAATAGGCATAACATCTTAACATCTGAATAATATGTCACGTTTCGCAAACAAATCAAATCAAGGTTAGTTGTTAAAATAAAAAAAAAATCTTGTTACATCGTTAGTTCTAAATATTAATTATGTTTTAATTTTTTTATTAGTTCAACTTAAAGCTTTTAAAGCAGTGCGCCTATTTAAATTCAAGGCCTTTAGATTTGATTAAGTATTGTGAAAATTCTAAAATTCTCTTTTTATTTTTCTCTTTATTCTTTTAAATTGTCTCAATTTTCTTTTTTAGAAATTATTATTAAGAATCATAAGTCTTGATAAATTTAAAATAAAACAATCATAAATTTCTGTTAAAAATTAGATTATCTTATTATTAAAAATATGTTTTTGACTGTTTTTTAAGTGATATAATTGTATTATGTTATTGTTACATTATTTAATATATTTTTAGAAAGAGATTGATTATTATGATTGTTAAGTTAATGTAAAATTCTTTATACGTATCACAATCATTTATAAATAATTAAAATTAAAATTAAATTTTAATAAATATTTAACGATCGCGATTCACAGACAATGTAAAACTGATTTACACGGTTAGTGTATACCAATTAAATTCTTTTAGAAATATTTTTAACTATTAAAAAATAATAATTATTAAAAAAACAAATTATTCGGTTCTTAATATTTATTCTTATTCAATTTCAACCATTAATATAATAAAAATATTATAAAATGTTTATATTTTTTAAGTATAGAAAACTAATATATTTTTAGAGAATCGTCATCATTATCACTCACAAAAACCTTATTTATGAACTTATTTATGAGTGTTGTTCAATTATCACTCACAAAAACCTTATTTATGAACTTATTTATGAGTGTTGTTCAAAGCCTAAACATTAACAAGATGTTAAATTAGAGAACTAAAATATCTTTGGACATTTAAATTTTTTTTTGTTATTTTTATGCTTAATCATTAATTGAACAAATATTTATATTGATTTTAAAATTTATTTATTCTCTTTTTTATTTAATCTTATTTATAAAAAAAAAATCATCAAGATTCTTTATTTTTTTTTAAACAAAAATGTCTCAAGAACTCAAAGTATTTAAAAATCTTAAATCCTGTAATATAAATTCTTAAAAAGATTAAAGATAGTGCATGTAAAATAGTTTTAAATGAACATCCAATAAAAATTTATCATTCAGTCATACTATACCACTAATTTAAAATATCAAATGTGATTTAATGAAGTGTAAAAAAAAAATTTCATTGACCGTACATTTTCTATTGTAAATAATCTTTAAAAAAATATCAAAAATCAATATAATCTATAAAAATCTTCGGACTTTTTACCAAAATATGTTGTAAACGTACACCCTTAAAATCTTTAAATAACATCCATGTCAGTTGAAAATTGCCACAACGGGAGAAAAATCATATTGCCTAGAAGTTTGAAATTTATATGTGTTTTTCACCATTTAGATAAGTAGATGTTTGTTTGTGTTTTAGAGAGAAGAGGGAGGACGAATCTCAACAGCAAAGGGGAAACATCAATAGAGACAAAGACAACCTCTCGACACTAGAAAAAAATTATGATGTAGCCAGTGCATAATCAGTTCCATGGACCTGACTTTGATAAGTCGAGCACCCTATAATTAGCAATGGAGGAAATTCAAACTACTCAACACACAAACATCCGATTCAACAAAATCAATGCAGCATTATCAAGAATGAGAGATGAGATTATAGGAATAATGTTAATGCATGCAGTCAAGCAAAAGATCCATAGAGTGGCAGCTCCAAACAAAATAACTGAATAAGTAACTTCAATAACAGGGCATTGTAGTTACTTTCAGATGCAAAACAAAGATCCTTCTCACAGAAAACCACATAATCGTTTAAACTCTTATCAATTTTAACAATCAGTGATGTGTATTGCAGATCAATGCACGGATGAAAAGACTACATTGATACTGGAAGCAACCAATAGAGCCCAGAGCATATTAAAGTCCCAAATTCATCATAATTCAGAATGGTGATAAATACTATGATCAAATGTCACTCAGGTACATGCATTTTCTGAACAAAGAAAAATGAGAGTAAAACTTCACCTTAGAACCTTAAACCAAAATCATCTAATTGAAAAACTTGGTTCTATAATCAATACGAGACTACTTCTCAAGCAGAGTTCCTAATATACATTTCATGGCTTTCTCCACCACCTGAAGGCGAATTTTGGCTATTCATTAGAATTTGATGGTGGCATATGTCCTCCCTGACCTTGGTTCCAGTTCTGTCTTTGAGTAGGATCTCTCCTTTCAACTTGCATAGTTTCTCGCCGTCTATCATGTCTTGGACGAAGTCTACCCTTACTTGGTTGCCTTTCAGCATACCTATACTGTGGCCTAGGGATTACTTTACCATCAATAAACAAATCACCTGAAATTTGCCAAGATTGATCAAATTAACAAACAAGATCCAACAGTTAACCAAACATTTAATTTTAACAGCTCCACTCACCTCCATAATCCTTGTTAGGAACATCAAGATACGAATCTGGCAGTACCCAAAGAACTCCCGGCAACTCTATTAAGACAGAAAACATGGCCACAACAAGTTAAACATATGGGGTAATTCTCGATCATCTAGAACCAAATTTTTAAAATCAACTTAATTAAGAACATAAGGTCTTTATCATATAAGTGTAAGTTATTTCTATAACAGAAAATAAATAAAATTAAACTGTTTTCATAGAACCTATAAGTTATTTTCATTAACTAACTATCTCGCAGAGCTTATGGAAATAAGTTGATTTTGCTCATGTCACAAGTTGTTTCTTAAGCTCTCCCAAACCGTTTAACAATCATTCATGCTAGGAGATAAATTCAAATAAGCCAATCCAAATAGTATGTTATAACAATTCTCATTATTACAATACAAAAATCAAAACAACAAACAAATTTGATTGCACAAAAACGACAGTCCATGAAATTAACCTCTCCATTTTAATCCATATGATGGTTTTAAATTGCATTCCGCAATCGCAATTGAGGCTGCAATATTGCAGATGCGGTAGCATCGGACCACAATTGCGGTGTGATTTAAGATCAGGCGTACGATTGCATTATAAACCACATCAGACAATTTTACCTATGTTTTTCAAGTATTTTATCAAATCTCAATTTTTCTTAACCCCAATACACAATTGTAATGAAAAATATTAACATTAAGTGTTATTCAACGTATTTCAAACATCTCTCAATCAAAATTCATGCTGCAACGGACGCAATGAGCATCAGCAATGACCGCAATCGCAACAACTACATCTGCAATTTAAAACCATGAGCCATATGCAATACAAAATTTCCAATCAAATAAACATTAGCACAACATCATTCACAACAAAAATCTAATTACAAAACTCATAACCTAAATTGAGCTTGGTGAATCAGCTAAAAAGAACAGGAAAAAGAAATCACCTTTGAGTTTATAAGAAAGCTCTTCCGAAACAAGAGCACCAAAACCAGTATACGTAGTCGTAGAAACAGAGTATATCTTCTTCTTAGCCTCTTCCTCACTAGAACAACAAAAAACCCAAAGAATAAAATTAACAAAACAGATTAAGAAAAAGCGCAAACAAAGTATAAGAGAAATCAAAACCAACAAAACCTTCCGAGAATTTGAGCTAGGGTTTTAACATAGCTATTAACCATTTCATCTTCAGAGGGTTTAGGATTATCGGGAAACTCCATAACAATGAGCCAGTGCTCGTAGTCACAGCCATCGAGAAGAATCGTTTCCTTTGGAGGACGGTTGCTCCAGTTTGGGGTTGGATCGTTCAACGGAGAATAACCCGAACCCGATGATTTCGTACGAACCGGGAAAGAGCGAGGGACGGGTAGGGTTTGTTTGGGAGATGATAACGCAAAAGCGAAACGTGTGCGATTGCGAGAAGAAAGAGCTCGTGAGAGGGTGGAGGCTAATGTGCGCCTGGCATTGGAGTACGCCATTTTCGACTCACACTGTTTGGTTTGGAAGTGAAATTGGGAAGAGAGAGAGAGAAGAGGTAATAGAGAGAGTCAGAAGAGAGAAAGTAAAAAGTAAAATGTTAATTATTTTTAAAAATATTGCAATACTCTAATACTACTAATTAATATTCATTCATAAACGCAAGATACTGGTAGTCATGGTGGGGAGAAGAATAGAAAAAAAGAGGAAAGAAAATATATAATCCAATGTAGTGTGGTGTATGATAAGATCGATGAATTAATTTAATCTAATGGTTTAATAAATGTGATACACGGTGAAAGACTTAGTTAACGGTTCACCTTAGAAATCATCCATATTATATAAAATTTTATGGTTACTTCTAATGCGAAAGCTCAACAAATCTCTCACCATGAACCATTATTTTTTTCTAAGCAAAAGATATATTGGCATGGTAACATTAAGATAGATTCAAGAACATTTCTTTGAACTGAGTATCTTGAATTCAGAGATTTCTGACGGTTTGTTTGAGAGCCATCTTTATTGAAATAAACAGTAAGCAGATGAAAAAACTTATATAGGGAAAACCTGTTATAACATGATGCATGATATATAGATGCAATGTTTTTAAGGATCTCGCGGGATAAATAAAAAAAATGTTAGAAGTCGAATCTGACTACAGTTTTCATTGAAGAACTTTGTATCGTTGAATATCCTTCTACGAGAATCAAGCTCACCATGTCGAGTGGGTCATAGCATTTGACTCAAGATAATGTGCTTTGGTCTTTGACAACATTGGTTAGAGGAAAATAAATCCCCTTGCCCATTTTTAGATGTTGGTTCATGATACTTTGACGGTATTTAGTTAGAGGAAAATAAATCCTCCTGCCCCTTGCTAAGCGTCTGGTTTATGATAACCTGCATCAATGGCCTTTGTGATCCTTGAACTGGTCAGTGAGAATGATATGGTATGATGTTATGATGTGTATTCTATGCACCAAGAAAAAGGGTAAGGTGGTGAAAACAAGTAAGTTTTACAAGAAGTCCAGGTTATTGGATAATGACTACAAATAAGTCCTGCAAGGAATTCAAGTTTGTTAAATAATGAATACAAAAAAAAACCTGTAAGGTGTTCAAGTTGTTAGATAATGCAAACAAGTCACACAAGTAGCCTTAGGTTTAGGCTTGCATGAGGTTTATAGGTAAGTACTCTATTAAAGTTTTAGTTGGTTCAACCTGTTCTAAAAGAAAGTAAATGGGTTCTAATGAATCTCAATATCATTGATCTTTCTTCATCGGGCATTGTTTCAGCACAAGCAATCTGTTTTCGTGACCGAAATATTATGAAAGTCCGATCTCAATGAGTGTAGTATCAAGTATCAACAAACTTCAATCTGCACCAAAGCCAACTATCTCACTACTTTCTAATGGCTAAGTTGTTCAACTAAGGTTCTACAGTTAGTTAGTGCTTCATGACACCACTCAGCGGCCTCGTATTATCCTTGATTTAACTCAAGGGACACTGGTACCCACAAATGTGTTGCACCAACGTAGCCATGGCTTCAACCATATCGGTATATGTCGTACAGTCTCCATGATCTATTGCTACTTACCTAATATGCCCCATATTCGGGTATAGGATCTTTTCAAGAAATAAACCCAAGAATAGACCCAAAATGTAAAGCAAACAAGGAAAACAAAACAAAATAACAAAGGTGATCTTGCTCTTAAGGTAACCCCACTTTTAGTTTATAACTCCCCAGTAGAGTCTCTAGTTCTATTATACGGTGGGAGAACTGACTTGGTGTTTTGCATTTGATCGCAAGTGTTACGGATATCAAGAGTCTTCACCGACTTTTCTTTTATCCAATAAAGGAAAGGGTGAAAAGAATAGGAAAGACCTTTTGAGAATTTTCTTTAGTTCGGAGGATAGGTTATGAAAAGGGAAGGTGTTAGAACCTTTTTCATCTGTAGTTATATACGGGCTCTTAATTTCTATCTCACTTTGAAATGCTTTCTGTATGTGTAAGTTTGAAAATATTTTGAAAATACCTTTGTTCGACAAACTTTGCAATGATTCTCGTATTGTTGAGAATGTATACAAAGTGTTGGTTTTGAAAATATTTGTTTGAAAAGAAGTGTTTGGAAAGATGTTTTGAAGATGCCAATGTAAGGAAATTTTGTAACAATTCTTGTATAGTTGAGAATGTATACATAATGTTTGTTTGATAAATATTTTGAAAGTGTGAAGTGTGGAAATGGTTTTGTTTATGAGCAATAAATTATGATAAATTTACCTACTCAAAAAGTTTTTGTTCTTTTCCTCCTCCTTTAGATAGTGCTACTTTACCATTGGTTGGTAGGGAGCCATATCATTGGATATGAGGGATGGGTGTGAGTCATCGTACAGTCATAGAAGGAAACTTGTAAGATGTTTTAGCAATTGTTGTAAGGGACTAATATCGTTCATTGAAGGCAACATTGAAGGGTCATCGAGGGACTATGATCTTTTAATCGAGGGTCTTTGCTAAAACATATCATGTTCGAGGGACATGATTATTTATATCCGAGGCAACAAGTGTGAATTACCCTAGAGGTGCATGTGTGCAAGGTGTTTTTGTTTTCATGTATTTCATCTTGAGTTAGGTTTTTTCTAGGTTTGATTTTAGTCTTGTCATACAAACCCTAATTACTAGCACTAATAAGGAAAGCGATAAATTGTGAAATTTAAAATTCCTACACTATTAGAACGCTTTGGGAATGGAGGGTACAATTTTGTGAGTGATGGGAGGAAAGAAATAAACCTAATTATCTTACAAACCTTTGAATATGAATGATAGAATGTACAAAATGTAAAGAGGAAGAACATTTTTTTTAGGGTTTTTTGATGGAGAAAAAGGTTTTATAGTTAACCTAACTAGACTAATTAATTTTATTTACAAATTAAGTTAATTAATTATTAACAAGACATAAAATCTAAGTTCATTGAAATTAGGAAGAAAATAGAACCTAAGTCTAAATAATTTGTCTAGAAAATAATTTGAATGTTAATACTAGTTTGTAAAATAAAATTCAATTTAATAAAATAAAATGAAATAAAATGCCTAAATCAAAAAAAAAATTAATTTAATTAAAAAAAACATTTTTTGGTTTAGGTAAAATAAATAAATAAATGAAAATAAAGAAAATATAAAAGAAATAAAAATAATTGGGCCTGGGTGTCAAAAGGAGAAAGGGGGTTGAAAAGAAAAAATGGGGCGTTGGGCCCAAATATGTTTTTTGTTTGAAATCAGAGTAAATAAAAAGTGGAATGGGCTTGGTTGTTGAAAGTAATATGGAAGGTGCATGAAATCAAAAACAAAAAGACCCAAATATCTCCAGCCCAGTGCCTGTTTTGGGGTTCCATGTGACTGGCCTATGAGAGTGCATCATGGTCTTTCTATTATGAGCGTTTAATTTGATTGCCTGGAAGATTTGATGGTGTGGACGAGAGGCGCATGGTGCGCGTACATGCTTGGCTTGTATTGAATCTGCAACAAATAAATGTGAAATAAATAAAAGGGTATCACTAGGGCTTGAACCCAAGTCCCTATAGATCATTGCCTTATGCGCGCTTCCTTTGCCACTGAGGTGGCAATTTCATCTGTTTATAAGACAAGTTGTAATAAATTTAAAATAAACCCTTTCCCAATGGCAATTCATCCCTAACCTCGCGCCAGAAGCCATTGTCAACATTTTCAAATTTCTGAACTTACTCATTTATCAACCATTTTCAAAAGTGTAAATATTAAACTTGCTCCATTTTTCACCACGAATTCAACCATGTAAATAACTAAAGCTATAAATCAAAGATGGACATGAATTTTGTTTGATACCAAATAAAACCTAATTTTTTCAGAAAGTTCAACTTCAAAATTCGCATCACTCAGGCAACATAAATGAAAACTAAAGGCATGGTTAGCTTCAGGGCAATGATGCTACATCTTTTATTCACAAAATAACCATTAATGATGCTTGTAGAGAGAGTTCAAAGTTGAGAAAGGTTACCTCAAAGCTGGAAATCGTGTATGGAGTTTGAGCATCCCTGGAAGTGTGGTGATGATCTGGATAGCTTCATTGGACTCCTATGAAGCTAATGCAACTCTTACTTTATGCTGAAAGTGCATGAATCAGGCTGGAGAAGTCAAGTTGCAGGTTTGAATATTTGGAAATGGAGGATGATGAAGATGAAGTTACAGTGGTGAAACAGGGACGTGGATGAGTTATATATGAGGTATGGAAGCTTTGTGATTGATTAAAAGTGAAAACGCACGAGTGGATCGTGAGATTGGTGTTCAAAGTAAAAATGACAAGTTATGGAGATTTTTGTGCAAAATTTGGTTTGAGGGAGTATGAGAGTGTTTCAAGGCTTGTTCCTTCCTATTATCTTGCAAATATTTCCTATATTTTATAGGCAAGAGGTTTGGAAGCTTGAGGTAGTCAGAAATCAAGAATCATATGTTATAGTTATGTGACTTGATTTTTGAAGAAAACTTGAAATTCATGGTTTCAATGTGAAGTACAAGGGCTTGTAGGGTGGTTAACAGGTTGTAGATGGTTGCTTCTTGGTTTTGACATTATGTATGCTCAGAAGAAACAAGTGAAAGGCTCAAGGAGAATGGAATTTATGATTCAAGCTACTTTTCCAAAATGGAAGTCTTGACTTTCTTCCCTAAATGGAATGATCACCTGAACAATGACTCAAATGCTTGGACAATGGCTCAATCAGTTGTGTAAACATCTGATTATGGGTTTCATGCATTTTCTCGAAATTTCCCAACTTGTGCCAGTCATAACTCTCTCAATATTTATCATATGAAGGTGATCTTGGACTTTTTGGAAAGCTGAAGATGTCCCCTACAATCTCTATGTTGATCATTTTTTTCATTTGAAGAGTTTATCTTGATGTAAGTTGCCTTGACAAAAAGTGTCTTTTTGTTGACTTTTGAAATGACTTATAATGTATTGGCTCACATCTTTCAAA